AATTTTTTGAAAAAATGCAAATTTCCAGTTCACTAAAAAGTGGAAGCATTGCTCGAGCGGTCGTTTATCAAAAAAATTCGTGTATGAGAATTAACTAGTGTTCATTCACATATACGATTGAGGTTCTGGTCCGGGTTACAGTGGATTTCTTAACGATTTTTGGGTTGAGGAGTTGCTTGAGGCTGTAGTTGGGGCGCTCGACAGCTGAGTTTAAAATCTTTAGCTCGCACGTGCATAGATAATATCCCTGCATAGTTTCAGCTTTCTACCTTGCCTGATTCGAGAAATCGTCTCCCGCCATGGGGCCCGTAGGTGGGGTTTAGGTGCGTGTGGGGGAACATCTTGGCACGGAAGGATGACAAACGGGGTAAGAACATATACCCACAGTTTCAGCTTCCCAGCTTTCCTGGTTGCTGAGATCAAAGTGGGTAAAAAAATGCACTCGCTTCTGAACACACACACATACAGCCTCTCGACAATATGCGCTTTTGCTATAGGGCTGCATAGCAAAAACGCATAAAAATTGAAATTGGAAAGGATCGGAATTAAAATTTTTTGTGACTTCAAAATTTCTTGAAAACTGTTTTCGCGCAGGCGATAAAATAAACTCATCATGGTCTAGGACTAATATCATTTGAGAAGATGCTGTGATGCTCAAAAATACCAGTAAAATTGCAAAAGAGCTGAGGCCTATGTTGTTGGGCGGACGTTTGGAGCTGGTAATTCCCTTAGAAGACGAAACGAATGCCATGGTAGCTAGCCGACGCCAATCACCAGGCAATGCAGCAGTGAGCAGAATAACTGGAAGAGTCCATCAATTGTAATAATTGAGAACGATGCTATTAGCTGTAGTTAAAGTGCCAAATTTGAGTGCAATATTTCCCAGTCGTTACAGTCAGTAATTACCTGGTACCACTACGGATCATTTTTTCCCTTTCAAAAGTTGTCTGAAAAATGAGACGGGAAGAATTTATATTGATAACGCAACTGACAATCAAGACGAATCACACCGAGGCTGATTTGCTCAGAACCCGCTTTTTTACTGGTTTAGAGTGAGAGGGTAGCGTTTGGTGCTGCTAGTTTACCGCATTCCACTTGGCCTCCCCGACATTATTTTACGTCCTGTACTGCAACAGTGGCGCAAAACGAATATTGTCGAGACCCTGTCTGTGTGTGTGTTTGTGTGTGCTCCGAGTGCATTTTGTTATTATATGTGGCGAATGCACGAAAAAGAAAAGCTCGGTGTTTATTTTTCGCATGTGTATCCTTTTTCTTTTTCAGTTTTTGCACCCTCAAACTAGGTTTTGCAAACAATTCAGGACTACGCGCTGATTCGCGAGTGCCTTTAGTTGTGATTCCCGAGGATCAGTGCCGGATCAAGCGTGAAGCAAAGCAGAAGTTACGCAATGCGCTTGAACAGCAGCGCAGATCGAGCTGCGCGAGTCCATCCCAACAAGCTGTCAGCTCCTCCGAGTCACCGGATGATTGTTGCTCCGCACTGTCTCTGGAAACACGCGAGCTGATAAGTCGGATTGTGGCCATCGATCAACAGTTTGCTACACCGTCTACCGACACGCTTATGAAAATTTCGGTCAGTCTCTGTACTAGTGCCACACATTCTTTCTCGTCTTCCTGGCAGATCTGTGAGCAGTTCGCTTCTTTGAAACTTTTTGATAATGATGTTTCGAACAGCTATTTTGCCACGGATGCAACGCTACGAATAAATCCTGGTGTCTATCAAGAGCCCATACTTTTTCGCCAAAAATATCTAGAAGCTCATCTTGGGACAGAAATGACAAGGCACACAGAAATAGTTTTTATTTCATCTGGATAATTTTTTGGCCTATGCGTATGGGGCTATACAGAATCTGATCATAGGCAAAAATTGGTATATCAAAGTGCGTGCTGCAACTATGTTAGCTGGAGCTAATTTATGAGGCAAAACATTAAAAAAAAAAGACGTAAGAAAAATGAAAGCGGATTTTAAGCCCCTGGATTCGCATTTGACGAAGTTAGTGCTCCAAAATTTCATTTTGCTAATCTTTTTAGACCAAACAGATAGGTGGACGAAATTGCACAAACATGCACATACAAATGATCTCGCTTTAATATTCTTATGCACCTTAGCGTAGCATAAAAACGTATAAAAATTTGAAGCACAATTTCAGGAAACCGTATTAGTCTATAAAAATTTTCTACAAATATCTTTTATCGTCTTGTCAAATTTACGTTTTGCACTCTTTATCGAGCCTATTTCAGGCGAACCTAGCTACTCTGAATCTTTAGTACGTATCTGTTTTAAAAGAAAAAAAAAAGTAACTGTTGCAAAAATGTAACAGGGACGGAAATACATGAAGTTTAATTTTTTCCAGGAATGCAGCGAAGGCAGCTCATCGTATCAACAGCTCGCCGAATTGACAATCTTAAGTTTGCAGTTGATTCATCAATTCACAATGCATTTGCCTGGATTTTGTAAACTTTCTGATGAGGACAAACGCACACTGCATAAGGTTGTGTTTTGATCTTATCTGTCAGTAAAGTTTTTTTTTTTAAACTTCGCTTTTCCACTCAAGGAATGTCAGTTAAAACTCAGCACGTGACAAATATTTGAATTTTTTGAACACATGCTGACATAAACTGATCGGGCTGTTTGAAACTCAATCACTGATTTATTTTTGAGTTATCAAATCATTAAGAACAAAACAAGTCGTACCAACCAACACAAGTACTCAACACCCCTTCACCGTCCTCTCAGTCCTTCACTGCCTTTCCCTTGCCAGACACGAAACCGCGGAAAAACACAAGATCTCACCGATAACCACCGTTATGGGTAACTGTTTAATGATTCTATTTGTAGGCATGCAAAACAGAAGTGCTGGTACTGCGCACATCACGTTGTTATGACACATTTGACGAAAAAGTAGTTTTGGGTAACGAAGCGAAGCAGTGGCGTTATGATCGTGAGCAGTACCGAGAATTCATTGGGCCACTGGCAGATCCGATGTTTGATTTCGCGCATGCCGTGTCAAAAATGCATTTGCACCAAGCGGAATTTGTTCTGCTTACTGCAATCGCCATTTTTTCTGGTGCAGTTATTCTTACTACTGTTGTATTATAATATTATTACTGTTGTTATTACATTATTGTAATATTATTCTAATATTGTTATCACATCATTACATTGTTATTATATTGTTATGTTATTGCTTTGTTGTTATATTATTATGACATTATTACAATATTCTTATGGTATTATTATATCATAGCACTGTTAGAATTTTAATATATTATTATACTACTGTTGGGCCATTGTACTACTACTGCTTGCTATATAACTATTATATTTTCATTATATTATTGTATTATTATACCTTTTTGTTCTCACATTATTGTAGTATTACACTACTGCATTTTTGTATTATTATAATATTATTATATTGTAATTATTATTATATTTTTTACTAGTTCGTATTATATTACAGCACTATTATATTGTTGTAATGTATTATAGCATCATGTTGTGATATTATTATATTATGTTAATATTTTATTGCATTATATTATTGCATTATATTATTATATTATTACATTATGTTATATTATTACATTATATTATTATATTATATTGTTATTTATCGTTATACTATACTATCAAGTTATATTATTACATCATATCATTATATTATAAAATTATATTGTAATATTGTGTTATAGTATTAAATTATAATACTACATTATAATATTACAATGTCATATTATTACATTATAACATTATCATAT